CAAAATATTGCTCCTGTCACTTATAATTGAAAGGTAACTGCGTAGAGGCTTCACCAAGACAGATGTGGGCATTGATTTGAGTCTTGCTTCTAGAGCGACTGCAAAAGTAACCAAACAAACATGTTTTATTTAAGCTTTACATTCACTTAAACCTGCTCCACGTTTAGTCTGATCATTTTTCTTGGAAGGAGCTGACCTCTGGTTTGCGTTAATCTTGTAAAGTTTAGATGAGGTAACGAACACGGTGTGTGTTCACCGGTGATCCGGTGATCGCCTCTGCGATCATTTGACTCTCCCTCGGATTGAGGAGCACCTTGGCATAACGCTAACTGACCTACATCAGTTATGCTTCGTGTAGCACCAGCTGACTGTAATACTACGTTTCTAGCGATCAATGAACCCTGTTTGAGTACCACCGCCCCCCGTCCTAACCTCTCCGCTGTACCCTGCTGTAAACAGCCGTGCGGCAGCGTCACCACAGCAGCGGAGCGGCTCTGCGCTCTTACCTCCGAACAGATGAGGCGAAAGGTGTGCTGGTAATGATCCAATCAACAGCCGGGGAACTTCTTGCCCTCCGCCCGAGCGCTCCCTGTCCGCCGCCTCCTCTGGGCTGCTGCCGCCGGACTCCGGGGAGCTGTAGCCCCCGCCGCTGTTGGGAATGTTAATGCCAGAGTGGGGTCTTAAACTCGAGCCCCCAACAGACCTGGCCCTGGCTCCGATCTGCTGGCTGGTGCTGGGTCCGGAGGCTCCGGACGCACCGTGGTACCTCGCCCCCCGGGCGGCAGTCCTGCCAGCGCTGCTGCCGGACGTGCTGGATGGCAGGTCCGAGCTGGAGTAGGCTCTGGTCCGTCCGTTAGCAGCTGGGTTAGCAGTGGGGCTGCTCTGCTTTGCCCCCATGTTAACCTCTACTGATTCGGCTTTGAAATATTAACGAGGCGCTGTGCGAGCTCACTGCGGGACAGTACGCCAGATTTCCGCCCGAGGCAGATGGCTTTACAGGACACACGTCCTGGAAGAAGAGAAAAGCACACCAAACTCCGCGTCGCTACGATACCATCGAGAATCGACAACTGCCAGTTGGTGAAAAGTTAAAGCGGCCGCGCGTGACCAAAGCTGGGGATGTGCGGAAAAGTTTAGCAGACGTCACCATTGTACTCCGTCAGTAACGGTTCTAGAGGCTGTGCTGCAGGTGAGAACGTGGGTCCTTCCTTGTGTGCTGAGCCGCTCCTGGTGACCCGCTGTGCTCCGGCCGCTGGGTCGTCCTCAGTACCCCCTCCGCCATGGCTCCCGAGCCGCGTGAAGCAGTGAAGAGTGGCGCTCCTCACACCCCCCTGCCTCACAACACATTGCTCAGTAGAAGGAAGTGATGGAGGAGAAAGTCCTGCACTGAACCGTTTTAGCAGCGGCGGCGGCGGCAAGGAGACTTGCTGCGCAGGCTAGCTGCCAAGCTAGGCAGGCTCACGGGGACTTCCGCCCAGAAGTTTCAAAATAAAGCCTTTGCCGAGTTTAACTCCCCACTGCACATCACAGAGGCACCAGGCACCAAAGCCTCTTTAGCAGTAGTTTAATGTTATTAAATAGCTGTTTTACAAAGTGGCAATTTATACATTTATATAAGTAAGCACAAATAATAATATACATTTCAGGTATCTCAAATAAAAGTACCTCTTATTCAGAATCACACAAGTTATGTTATAATTACTGATTGGTTAATGTAATACTCTAATGTTGATTTTACATGCTGTATATACTTCTGAGTAGCGTTATCTGTAACACTATAGACTGAGTGTATCAAAAAGAATCATCCGATTTCAAGAGGTGCTTACATACAGAACTTACAATGTC